AGCGAAGCCAGAGTGAAGGGCGCACATCGATGGTAGGAAGAACAGTCTCGAAGTATTCCATGTAAAGATTAGCAAGGACAGGAGAGAGAGGAGAGCCCATAACCACACCGAAGGTTTGAGAATAATATTTCCCTTGGAAGGAAAAGGAATTAGAGTCCACACAGAGGCGGATAAGATCAAGAAAGACATCAATAGGTATAGGGAGATGTAGAAACCCTTCATTGGCCTTCTCTCTAAGGAAATCAAGGACATCATCAAGAGGGACGTTGATGATGTCCTTGTGTTAAGAACATAAGAACACAAGAACGAAGGAACACTGCAGAAGGCCTACTGGCCCATGTGAGGCAGGTCTAAGTCTCCTACCGGCTTAAGCCAATGCACCCAACCTAGTCAGGTCAGGTCACATTCACTTAAGGGAGGAACACGGCAACCGACCTGGTAGCACAAGCTATCAGGTCCAACTCACACCCACCCACATCCACTCATGTATTTATCCAACCTATTTTTAAAGCTACACAACGTTCTGGCCTCTATAACTGTATTCGGGAGTTTGTTCCACTCATCCACAACTCTATTACCAAACCAGTACTTTCCTATATCCTTCCTGAATCTGAATTTTTCCAACTTAAAACCGTTGCTGCGAGTCCTGTCTAGGCTATCTGTACTGCTGTTTCAACGTAATTAGCTGAAGTTACTCCAATTGCTGCCAGTACACTGTTGTGTACTTCTTCATAAGATGAGTCTGAGCCAAGTTGATTCCCATATAATTAGTGTCAGAAGTAAGTTAATGTCAGTAAACTAGTGCCCGAGCAACAGTAAACAATGTTACTGTCTATAAACTCTTGTCAGAACAACTGTAAATGTTTGTTAATTTGTAAACTTATGTCAGAGCTATAATAAACTCTGTTTATGCTAAGGATACGTGACAGCGATTTGATGTTTTTATGGTTACCCGAAGCTTGGAAGTTACGCGAAGACGGTACTGGGGGTCACCGCCTTCACGGGTCGGTCCCATATTGGGCCCCCTGGTTGATGGCCCGATTAACTAGGCTTATGGTGTTAGCCGCACGCAATCCAACGTAGGCACCACAGCCAAGCTGATCAGGAGTTAACTCGGGAAATTTACTCCTTTTCTCTTGAAAATCGCTAAGGGCCGGTTAATAGTTGCTGCGATTAATGAAGGAAGGGTGTTTTAAAGTCTTGGTCCCTTTATGCTTATTTAGTTGTCGCACAATACTCAATGCACCTCTGCTTTTCATATGAGGCATTTTCACCATTCGCCGAACCTCTCGCTCTTGTGGAGAGTCATCTCGGTGTACAGATTTGGGACTACGTATTTCCTTCAGGATTTTCTACAACTAAATTGTGATGTACGCTATTTGCCTATATTCCAGGAAGCCCAGTTCTCGGTACTTCAAGCATTGTCAGTAACTTAGGTGCTTGACATAATGCAAGAAATGAAGGTTCTCTATACTTGCTCCAGTTCGACGATTTCTCTTGCCTTATTAAAAGAGGTTGTTAGTCTGCAGCAATATTTCCATCAAGAAAGAAATTGAATTCTGAGTATCATCAGTGGCTTTTCATCTCCTCCTTTGTAAGTTTCAGTTATCCAGAATATCTTGCTTTTCTGATAGCATTACTATTTCGAAAATTAAGCGTACAATCTTCAGATATTTTCGTAAGTCCCTCGAACTCCTCTTGCAGGCTATTAAGTGGAGACCTGGATACCTTGAGGGACGACCCGGTCGCAGACAAGGTCTTTAGGATCAAGGCCTGATCAGCCAGGCTGTTACTGCTGGCCGCACGCAATCCAACGTACGAACCATTGCTCAGCTGGCTAGGCACTGATTTGAGGAATTTGTTCAGTTCCCTCTTGAAGTCTACCAGAAGCTTGTTCTTAATTTCCGTATGCACGGAGGAAGAGTGTTGAAGACTCGGGGACATCTGACACATCGAGTTCTCTCTTAATGCGTTCGTCGCGCCCATTCTTTTTAATAAAGGTACTTACATAGTCTGCCAAGTCTGTCATATGGTCCCTCTAGGATTTTCCAGGTGTAGATTATGTACCTTTTTCGTCTACTTTCCAAAAAATACAGTTGAAGGCACTTCAAGCGGTCCCAGTAGTTCGGATGGCTGATTTAGTGTATACGAGTAGCTAAGGTTCTCGGTACGTTTTCCAGCTCAGCAGCCTCACCTACCTTGAAGGTTGCCGTCAATATACAGTTGTATTCCAGCCTGGAGAGAACAAGTGACTTTAAAGAGTTTTATCATTGTCTCAACATCTCGTCTTGGAAATTTAGTTATCCAGTCTAGCTTCTTCCTTGCGGTAGCAATGACAACATTACTGTGGTCCTTGAATATAAGATTTTAAGACATTATTCATCCCAAGTCTCACACACACGGGGCTTTCCTCCTGTTGAATGATTTTGGTTAGTCTTTATTCCCTCCGTTCTGCCATCAGAGTAATTGAAACTTGTCCCTGAAGACTTTTTTTTTATATTGCTTGAATATTCGTTGCATTGAACGGATGCCACTCTCAACAGAGATTCTGGTGTCATGAGCAAAGGATGTTACGATGCTATGGTTTAAGTCCTTGTCAGTGTACAATATAAAAATGAGAAACACAAGTGGGGAGTTGTGTATTCTGTTCCGGATATTAATAATTCCCGTTTTCTCTAAGTAAGTTACTGATATTTTTTTCTGAACAAGTTTTCTGTAACTCACTACTGTAGAGGACCTGGTTTTATCATTTCGAGACTTGCTGTATCCTTAATGAATGCCATTCTCATATTTATTCTATTTTAGTGTACAGACTGTGATACGTATGACTAAAATTTAATGAACACTTGTCAGTGTTCATTAATAGTCCTCATCGAATCAGAAACTCGGGAGATTGATCTCAGCAGAAGAGGATCCCAGAAGGGGGTCGAAATATACAGATCAACCGTCAATCTCCTGAGTTTGTCTCCATGTGGGTTATTATCAAACTGTGACATAGTACTATGACTTAGGTCTCTGTTTACGTCGGATATTACAATGAGAATTAGGGCGAGTACTGCGCTTTAAAGAACAGAGCTTGTCAAAGTGGTAGTATTTTATTTTGTTGACTACTACTATCTGCGTTCGCTTTGTAAGAATAATAAAAATTTATCTGCCCATGTTTCTACTTATTGTATTTTGTTCGGCCACCAGTGTATTCACGACCATGTCGTAATGGTCCAGCAACTGAGGGAGACTGGAAGGTTTTGATAATATAGATGTCAATGCTGTCGGTCTGTATTTTTGTGTTATTGTTTTTCAGCGATCTTTGTGAAGCAAGACCTTATTTATTGTTTTAAATGACTATGGGATGTCTTAGGTGTCTGATTAATGGCTCATTGAACAGAGTCACGTTGTGACATAAGCATTTCGCTTATTTCTTTGCTGTCATCAGTGTAGTTTCTATCTACTTGAAGCAAGAGACCAATTCTGGATGAGGTTTTTGTCTTGGGTTTCGCGTATGAAAACAAGCGTATGTTGGAGCCCTTGTATTATTATTATTATTATTTTGTTCCCTCTGTCTCCCCTAGACTCTGTATGATGCTTTCAATTTTAGCTCATTGTTTTTCCCATCTCTTACCAGTAGACATCATATCTTTTTTATTTGTCTCCATTTATCATAAGTACTCTTGACACTGTGTAGAGTGAGTGCTTCGAATATCTATTCCTCTAGCGCGTCCCACTTGAGACGAAAGAAAATATTTCCTATCGTTCCTTCATCTTTGCCTAAGTCCCCATGTTCTCTCCCATCTTGTCTAGAACTGACTGTGTGTATCCATACTGTTTAGTCCACTGCCATGAGTATGCCTCATCGGACTCTGTCTGTCTCTTGTAGTCAATCCGGCCTCAGTTCTCATGCCAGTCTCTTTTTCAACCTCTTGTCGAGTTTCAGTGAGTGAGAGAGAGAGTAAATGTATGAGAATAATTGGAGTGAGAGAAAATTAATAAAAGAACTAAAAGGTAAATAATTAAATGAGTAATTGTGAAAATGGCTGACATAACGAAAAATCCCTACAGGTTTGGTTCTTTTTCATAATTAATAATATGTAATCAGATTCATTATTTACAGAACTGGACTCTTCTAATTCTTTAGTTGAAATTTGTCCCAAATTACCATCTCTCTCTGGAAGTTTTCAACATTAAATCTTACAAATGAGTTGAATTGAGTTTTAAATTTTTTAAGTGCATCTCGGAGAAAAAAAAATAATACTTGTTTTAACATTGTTGAATTAGTTGATGAAGATAAGTATTGCTTGAATGTATCAAAGATGGTGTTTGTTGTTTGTTAGTTTTAATCACCACCACGCATCATCAACACCACCATCATCACCACCACCACATATCATCACTACCACCACCATCACCACAACCACGTATCATCACCATCACCACAACCACGTATCATCACCACCATCACCACAACCACGTATCATCACCACCATCACCACAACCACGTATCATCACCATCACCACCACGTATCATCACGCATAGTCATCACTACCACGCATCACCATCACGCATCACTACCATCATGCATCACCACCCATCACCTCTACCACCAAGCATCACCACTGTCATGTATCACCCCCACCAAAACCACGCATCACCACTACTACCACCACTACCACCACCCCAACACCACCACCCCAACACCACCACCCCACACACACACACACCACCCAATCAAGCACCAATCTCCCGAACCCCCTCAACCATCCACCACCACTACCACTGCCACCAGCTCCACCAAAGCCATACCCTACCAAGCGCCACCTACTCTCCACCAAGAACCACACCTAGCACCACCACCTCCCCACCATCCCTAGAAGAAACGCCCACATACCACTACCCCAACTATGCTCTAGTCACACCAACCAATCAAACCAACCAGCTAACCAAATCGACTAACAAACCGTACACTACTATGTACCTAACCCAGGACTCCCTTCCCCTTCTCCAGGTTTCAACCGATCCATCCCTGGCTACCCTCGCTACGAGATGGTGGGAGACGGTGTGGGAGGGGAACACCATCTACGTATCCACAACACCACCTTGGCCGACGATGCTGATTATCAGTGCCAGGTTGGCCCTGCTGATGGACACCCGCCCATCAGGGGCACTGGCCATCTCACCGTCTTGT